TTGGATTTAGAAATGAGTGCCATATTCGTAATGAGCATCCCCAAATAACTCGAAAAGGATACCCATATAGCATATTTTGAAAAATCGTGTCCGCCATCTTGGATTTACAAATAAGTGCTATATTCGTTTTTCATCGACAAAACCGAGCATATCTGTAGGCACCTGATCGACAATGTCGGGCAAATCTGTAGGCACCTTTAACTTAATGATGAGTTAAGCAAGATACAATTTCCCCACTTTTGAGGGAAATGTTATTCCATGGCATCATTATTTGTATATTTGTGTGCGTGCCGACGAGCGTAGTTACAAGTTGCTTACGCCTACATGAATTTGGTTTTTGCCTCACTTGTGACAGTTCGTTTGATATGAAACTATCATTCTATGCGTTACTATTCTAAGCCTTATACTATAATGTTTCAGGGCTTCTATAGCTTATACGCGTGGCGCACTATGAGTTTCCGGAATGAATAAGAAAAACATACTATAAATGGTCAGAAATGAATTTATTGTTTCTCAAAATATTCTCCATTAGCGTTAATGCACTTTTTCATACGAATGAACCAATTTTGAAAACATTTATGCCAATCCTCCGTGACATTCTATGACATACTCTTGTCGTTTTTGGCCGTGTGAGAACTGGCGTTATGGTGGTGCAAAATGATACGGCGTTTACGGAGATTCACACGAACGCGTTTGAATTCAGCAAACCATCTATAAATAGTCGTTTTGCATGATGCTTCATCGCCAAAAGCAGTTTGAAGCCAAGCATAGCTCCGCTGAGCTGTTAAATTACACTTAAAGTGGTAGAAAATCATGCTTCGAAAATTTTCATGAGTTAAATCCATGGTGACGTAGATAACCAATATCTAAAATGACGCCACAACGTAAAAACAAGTGACAGTCGGATGAAACAAACTGTATTCTACAGCCAAAGAGTTCCATTTTCAAATGTTCTAATTACTTTTTAAATATTGTTTATGTAAATGGCCAGTTCCGGAAACTTATAGTGCGCCCTATGTATAAGTTATTTATGCAGCAATGACAGAAATTCATTTATTAAGCATATTTTACTTTGCCTAAGTAAAATTTATTCAATCAACTTTAATCCACATTGCAAACAAAATAAACTATAGTTTCATTACACTTGCAAAAGTTTTCAGACCATATTATGTCATTTGTACTAGTAAACATGAAAGCATAGAATAAAACTACCAAATAAACAAAACAAATCGTATATTTACTTATTAACATTTTCAAATATTACAACACCTAGTCATCATTAAAAACAACTTTTTTACCTTCAAATGGTAATATACCTGACTGCCGCTTCTTTGCTTCCCATGAAGGATGTAACTTCTCTGGTTTGACACTATTATCATTCCTGTCATTAAAATTCGTTTGTTGATTATTTCGGACCTTATTTATATGAAAATTATCGTTTTTATTAAACATTCTATCATTGTCTCTAAATTTATCTCTCCCTAAGTTATCTTTCCTAGTAAATTTATCATTTTTCTGGTTTTGTCTATCAAATCCACTAGACCTTTTATCAAAACCATTTTGTTTATTATGTCTATGAAACCTATCTTCATTGTCCTGGCGAAATTCCTGCCTTGGTTTTATCTTAGGAACATGTCCAAACCTAGCCGCTCTTCTAAGTTTTCTATTTCCCTCTTTGTGAAATTCTTTCACTTCATCTGGTGCTCTAGGTTCAGCCAATGACATGTAGTTTTCTCCAGTAGATGTTATAAAAAATGGATCTACAATTTTTACCTCCTTCTGAGGTGTATCATCCGAGTCCTTCTTAAACTTTCTGTTTAATATTTTTTCATTAAAATTCCTGTTCTTGTTGCTGTCTTTTTGTTTCTTTCCCAATTTTCGTAATGTTGCTACTGTACTTTCCTCTACATTTTTATTTGGTTTTCCTATTTTCAATTCAAATTTGTTTTCTTGTGGTACAGGACCTAACTTTACAATATGTCTTATGTTATTCGATATTTCATTATCTTCGTCATTATTACTATCATTGTCATTATTACTACTACCTTCACTGTCCCTCCCTTCACTTTCTAGATGTATGCTTGTGTCAACCTGTCTTTTTCTTTGTATCTTTGAAATACCTTCACCCCGACTTTCTTCAGACTCATTTCCTGACTCAATTTGTACAGTACCATCCTCAGAAGATCCTTCTTTATCACTAGAAACGTTATGATCAGAAACATCTAATTCACTATCTGAACCATCAAATTCCTGACTGTTTTTACTCACGTTAATATCTTCAACGTTCCAATTGCCTTCAGAATTAATAATATTAACTTTTCCTTTCTTTTTCTTTAATTTCTCTTTTTGTTTTTCCCTAGCTTCTTTTTTAATTTTTTGCCGTTCTGCTCTTGACATGAAGAGGTCATTTATTGGCACACCAGAAAATCTGCTACGAATAAATTTGTACTTATCTTGCATTGCTTTGTGAAGCAGCAATCGAGCACAAGCCTTTTCTTGATCGACTTGAGGTTTGTTTAAGTAGTCTTGAAGTTTGCCTTTGTGAGTTAGAATAAATTTGCCAATGTCTCTTGCTTTGATTTTCTGTAAAGTTAATCAAAATGGTATTTTTTAATTAATTTAATAAGAAAAAACATTTAATTAAAACTGCAAAAATAGGTCTCTCTTTAGACATCCATTTATTTAAGCAAATACTTTCTTTGCTTGTTGTTCCTACATATCATACTTGCCGTTTGAAACTTTACCAAGCCCTATCAAGCTTGATAACATGGTGTTTTTGGTTATGTTTTAGTTTTATTACCATTTAAACAGACTTTAACTAAAAATAATAAATAAACAACAAACTAAGTCTAAAATCTAAAATTAAAGTGCTAGCTATACATGCCTCTCTATCAAAGGAGACTTGAATCTAGAGGTAGAACATACATGGTTTTGTTAAAGCTTCATTACAATTCTCAAATAGTGACTCTCACGCACTCTATGATATCAACACAAAGCAGCATCAACACTGCTTCAATGTGTAAGTTCCTTTTGTATGAGAAATTATCATTATATGGAAAAATTTATTTAAGTTTCTGTTACATTGCAATGTTTTTTTTTGCTTTGTGAAAGATAATAAATTATTTAGAAATAAAAGAAAATTGTAATACATATAAAAGACAGTTTTTTTTTTATTTACCTTCATAATCAAAACTTCATTTATGGCGGATTCTGCCTTTCGCTTATTTTTTTCCTTCAAAGGTTCCGGTGCTTTCTTCTCCACCAATGCTTTAGCTTTTCTTGTCAACTTATGTATAATATGAATTTTGGCTTGGTTGAGTATCTTTTTGAGCAGGATAAGCTGAAAATTCACAAACATATTAATTAGAACTACTTTTAAATTACCTACTTAATTTGAGTAGCATACAAACCAAAACTAACTGCCTCCGTGGCCGAATGGTTACCATGCTGGACTGCCACACAGAGGTCCCAGGTTCGATTCCCGGGCCAGGAAAAAATTTATTTCTCTTGTGAGTTTGGATGTAATTTGTGGTTGTCTAAGTGTGTGTTCATGGCACCCAGACACAGGCTTGCCCTAGTGAGGGGTTGTCTAGGGTATCCAGCCTAGGTTTACCCAATCCGGGAAAACCCAGGTTTTCCCAGTTCTGATGGTTACACAGAAACCCGGGTTTGACTTTAATAACCAGGGTTTTTTGAATATTTTACTTAATTTTTTTGTTATTTATTATGTATAAACCACTTCGAATACAATAATAAATTTAATAAAAACACGCTTAGTTAAATAATTAAGTGTAAAGAAGCGTAGTTGCCACGTTTCTTCCTTACCAAACAATCAAGAAAACAAGCAACGCGTAAAATGGAATGGAAGATTTCATAAAGATTTTCTAAAATGTCTTGTAATCTGGAAAGTCCTGTTTCATTTATGATAATCCTTTTTGTGTTTTGACTATACTATGACCCGAAAACCCGGATTTTGAAAATAATAATAATAATAATAATAATAATATTTTTATTCTCTTCCACAATGAAACTTAAAGTTATTAATACAGAATTATATCTCCCTTTATTGTGGAAGACTGGTGCTCAAGCTAGGTAGAAACCTGTGTTATGAGACACCAGGTCTCCCTTTGCGTAACATTATTACATGTAAATAACAAAATACATTGGTGAAGTTACAATAGATTGAAGAACAAGTAAAAAATACAATTAAACTCTAACATAAAACTACAACAAAATAAAGCAAAAACCTAAAAATAAAAATAAATATAAAAATGGAAAATTGGAGATGTGTAAGTTATTGTAGTGTGTTGTTGTGTGTGTGTGTTTATGAGTATCTGTATGTGTGATGAATAATGACTGTGTGAATATGTGAATGTGTAATGATTGTGTAAAAATTATTTATGTGTGTAAATAGTATGATCAGTACCTATGTTTCATCAACTTATCAAACTAGTCCATAAAGCAACCTTGGTTGCAAAATTGGTCCGGGTTTCGATGCCCTAGTTATGTCGAGTGTTTGAGTAAAAAAAAGGTGAAAACTAAGACGTTGACGGTACTGAAGTTATTGTTATGATTTGTCTCTGTAAGAACTTGCAACCTTATTCACTGAATAATAAGAATTTGTCATACTTCGCATGCTTGCATTCTTTAACACAAAAATTTCACAGCTTGGAAGCTGAAACTACAAATATAACGACGGTTAATATACACACCTCGTTGTTAAATGCCTGTTTCACTGCTCCAACTTCCATTTTAAACAAAAATCTCTAAATTTCGTGATAACAGAGGTTATGTTAAGTTTCCAGTTCAAATAGAAGAATATTGCATAAAGTCACTCCATTAATCCAGTATGGTGATTCGTTATGCTGAAATAAGTTCAATATTACTTTTCGAATAATACTTCGAAAGAAAAACCAAAGTTGTGGGCAAAGTTTTGTCACGCAGATTTACACGCGACAAAATTTACACGAAATTGTCAATAGTTTAAATGTTTGAATCACAAGCACAGACTATTAGATCACAAGTCAGAAATTGTCAATGTCAATGTCACAACAAAACAGGTATGAGCTAATGGACGGAACATACTATAAAAATTATTACCATTTTGAGCAACAATGACAAATAAGACCTTATAGACGTGCGTACACAATAAATGATTTGATTTGATTTCAGCAATTCAAGCTATTAAGTTATTTTAATTCATCTATTAGTGGTCCCGTAACATCTAAAAATATTTTTAGTATTATTTAGGAAACGAAAACTGTCCACAATTTTTTTCGTCTTTAACTTTTTAAGAAACCATTTTCTTTTACGGTGCTTCTGTAATGATAAGGAACTAGTAATGTAATAGGTATTTCTCTAATACTTTTTGCCACATCTCTTCAAGTTTCCAATAAAAAAAAAACAAACTATTCTCTTTGGTCGGACCTGTCAATCCGAAATGTACGTAAAGAGTTTTTCACAAATTAATTCGATTTTATCAAGTTAATCTCGATTAAATTATTTAATTTTTAGTCCTATTCTATACCAGCAAACAAATATTTGTACTTTGTAGTGGTTATTTTATCTCTCACAGTTCTGGTGTTTGTGTTTTCAGCATGGCACCCCGGTTCGAAATCGCAGTTGGCCTGCGGAAAGGCCACAAAACTACAAAGATTTCCGCTGGACGGAAGGGTCTTACAGACAAGACTTTGAAAGTCAGACCCGCTAGATTGAAGGGCGTAAGTATTTTACTGATTTACGTTCATTCGCCTGTAGTTTTAGGTTATGTTTATATTCGACTTGAACCATTTAAAATGCATTAAAAACTTGAAGATCTCGGAAAATCTCAGAAGACTCGAACATACGTAAATAAAGATAATTAAGCCTTAGCATGTAAGTGTATTTGCATATATATATTATTACAAACTTTTATCCAGAAGTATACTTATCTGTATGCAACAAAATTCAATGTAAGTCATTTGTTTAGTACGTTGTTGATACTCTCTGTGGAGAAGCATTAGCCTGCAACTACACTAAAAGCACTTCCAACTCTGTTCCTATGGTCGATTTTTGAGATCTATAATTATAGAGAAACAGGGTAGGTACCCATACTATCTTGTTCTGATATTAAGTTTATGGTAAACCCTGTTATTATCCATGAACGGGTTAAGTAACCTTTCATAACAAACATATTATAGCTTTCTATTTTTGAAATAGATACAAAATTTTGTACCATATAATGCATTTGGATTTTAAGTTTTCTTTCAAGTAAAGCTCAGTTAGTGTAACAATAAGTGGCAGTAGCATTAACACGTTCACAGTCCCCATACAAAATGTTTGGATTTCCTCGTACGTCCCGCATATTATTCTCTATACAAGTCGAAGTACTTACGTCAAAATGTTATCTGAGCACTTCAACATACCTATTGAGTGCAATAGGAAGTAAACCATATCTTCTATTATCATGAAAAAATCAAAACTTTCAAGAGCCGCACTTAGGACTCTGGCCACGAAATATAGAGGAAAATGTATTGATATACATACTCCTTGTTATTCTTTGATTTTGAAGTGAGTCTTAGGTACGTCAGGTAACAGTCAAAGTAGGTAATTCTTTTGTTTATTTTTCCAAATTTGTTCACTTCACGAACTAAAAATGGTTGAACGGTTAAGGAGGATATTAGAAGATTCTGATTTTGAAGACGATTTGTTGGATTCTGACGAGGAAAATGAGGATGCAGCTTGTTTTTTGGAAATGAATGTCATCATTATGCTTGCCATGTTTTAACTATTTACATAAGTAAGAATATCACTTACCATCTCTTACCTCGTTCTAAAAAGAATTTGATTTTGCCATCTTTTTGGTGCCAACTGCAATGACATGATATGATCTATTTATCTTTGATATTACGGAAAAATCTAAATAGGATATAAGAGAAAATAAGCAACGTATCAACATGGCATTTAATTCTAAGAAACTGTACGTTATTGCTATGGATAAAGTAATAACGATTCTAAAAGAAAAATTGGAGAAGTATTTGCAAGATGACGAGGTAATAATAATTGTTTTGTTTTCTGTCAATATGACCATTTTTGTAAAGGTTTGATTGATGTTTGTTTGTTTGATTGGTTCCATAATTGTGTTATAGATTGAAATTACGAAGAGAAAATTGGAAGAACTTAATTTACCTCGAGCGATATTCTGCGAGTTGTTTTTCGAACTTTTACCGGACTGGGAAGTACTACCAGAAGAACAAGAAATTATTTTAACAGCCAAATGTACAAATTGCATGAAACCATGCGAATATCAGAACACCATAAGTCTCCAAGATATTTATTGTAAATATTGTACAGGGCAATGCTTTGTCAAATGTGGACACAGTATAAGATGTACTTGTTTAACATACGCCCAAGTCAAGTATGGTCTTGGTCCTTAACTTGAAGATTAAAAACACATTAAAAAATATGAAAAAGTGAACATATTTTTGATTTCTTATTTGAATTCCATCAATCACTTCAGTGTTCCAAACAGGTAGACAGTGGCATTCACCAAATATAATATTGTAATACATTTGCTAAGTTAGACTAAATGCGTACCTGGTAGTTTCTTAGTGACCCATATATGGGTCACGGACGTGTGGAACTAGTACGCCGTGATCCGTATATGGGTCACTGGACTGTGAAGGTGTTAAATAACATTTTGGGTCCAATTTTGTAGAGTCAGCACAAAAGAATAATTTATAACATTCTGTTGTGATTTTTGTATTTCTAAGTAAGCTTCAAAACACTGTAACAACCTATTACAAAAAATGGAGGTAGTTTTTATCATATGTATTAATCCAGCAACACTTTCTACTGGGTAAAAAAATACCACAGAGTATTTATGTATGATGGTTTTTAATTTTTTGAGCGCGCTGACGACATGGGGCTCTAGGTACCTTCTAACCAATAGTTAATGCATATGCACACCGCGAGACAACCAGTTTGCACATGACCTTTGGAGACGACATACGAACAAAGTGAATATGGGTAAAAAATACCCAGTAGCAACACTACTTGTTATATTATTTTTCAGTTTACTTATGATTATTTTTGTCAGTCTTTATGACAACCAAGGTCAGTCAGAGAAGATTGTAGCACCCTTTTCGGATTTCAAGAACACTGTATACAGTGGTATCATATGTCCCAAAGGAGAATAAGTGGTTCTAAGAATAAGTGGTACTAGGTGGTGAAGGTGAAAAGAGAAAATAATGGAGCTGTGATGGCTAAGGGGAGGATCGGCTTGAATGATTTAGCTTTGAGTCTTGTAATGCCACAGATACAGAAGAGGGCATTAGTACCTAATTTATCATCATCTATAAAAACAAAAACGAAGTTTATGCTCAATGATGGCTGGAATATTGAAACTACGTCGCCAAGGACATCTCGATCTCACCCACCTGTTACTGCTTCTCGCTGCGCCGTATGTGAATGGAAAAAAGACCAGAAGACAAAGACAGACTGTGAATTGTGCTTCAAAAAGATATATAGAGAGCATACGATCTCAATTTGTGGCGATTGCTACGATAGAGTAAAATAGATTAATTTGGACCAACAACGAGCTTGGAACGTATTGCTTCATGTCGATTTTATCAGTGTTCGCGTATTATAAAAATACTGATATTATGTTATTTTCATAGTACATTAAATCTATTTTTTTATATTGATCTCAATTTTGCATGTTCCTAAAAATAAAAAGTATATTTGTTGATTCTTATAGCAGTATACATTTTTTTTTTTAGTACTTTTCTACGATAATCTATAATTTTTAGTTATAGTTATTCATTACAAGTTGTATTTTGTAATTTTATTTATTAAGAATAACATCATTAAAACTGCTACATGTTCACAGATTGATAAATCAATTTTCTATTCTTAGATAATGCCCTTAAATTCTGTGGTATTTTTTACCTGGTTGTGAGTAATCGTAGCCAGTTCCGGGGGGTATATTAATCATCACTACAATTACACTGTTGAATGATAAACGGTGCGTACCCAGGAGATTCATCTGCTTGAGGGAAATTTTCCACAAAAAATCTCCAAATGATGTACCAGTTGTAAGAAATTCACCATCTTTCTGCAGATAAGACTTATTAACTTTATAGCTTTTTTGTTATTGAGTTTGATGTACAGAAAGATAGTGATTTTCTTACCATGGCTATATAAATTAAAGACTTTTTGTGGAAAATGTCACTTATATGGTTTTACCTTTAAATAGACCGTATCTACTTACACTTCCCTTTGTGCCTATAGCCCACATATCTGGGCTATAGGCACAAGGAAATTCAAGCTGCTTGTAAAGGCAGCTTGTTTCAATCCCTGCTTACAACCAATATTATTTGATTCCTATTTATCTTAACACTTGTTAATTTTACATTTCAGCTGCAAACTAAACATTCAAAGTTCGTACGCGACCTTGTCCGTGAAGTTGTCGGTCATGCTCAGTACGAGAAGCGGGCTATGGAGTTGTTAAAGGTTCGTACACACCCAAAGTTACTAAACCTTCAGACGCATTACCCAGAAATAACAGAACAATAATTCTAATTTTCAAATACAAACACATAAAGAAATGCAAATTAGTAGTTGAAAAATAGACACAATGCTTCGACTCTGCGCCATTGTAAGTTGAGCCTTAAAGAACTGAACAATTCTCCTGGCTTCTACTGTTTTGATCTCCTCTGGTTGGCTTTTTTTCCTTACATTCATTTAATAAATCCAAGTTCAAAATTTCTTTAACATAGATAAGCAAATTACTAGTGTTGCAACGAATAGTATTTCACCTTCATGCCGAATACCGAATATTCGGTCCGGAGTGACGCCGAATAGTCGAATATTCGGCCAAACAATTCGGCCTCATTAATGATGTTACGAAAATAGGCGCGCAAACCGCATTACAGCAAAGATAGCTATACATACATATATGTTAAATGAAACCAGTAATGATGCATGAGTTTGTAAAAAGAAACAAAAGGAAATTTTATTTTCAAGTTTATAATTCAAATTTATGACACCTTAACGAAGAAAGTAATTGTTTATTTCACTTCAGTTTAATTAACTTTGAAAAACTTAATTTTATTTTCATTTGCAAATAATAAGTACTAAGTAGATTTTGTGTGTTAGCGTTTATTTAATCATGATTTCATGACAAAATTACATAATAAGTAGGTAGTGTTCATTTGATTACCTCTTTTTTGATCTCATAGAAGTTACTATTTGTCATAATTTACTGTATTTTCTTATTTCTTCCTCCTGATTTTAGGTATTGGGGCGAATAGCAAAAAATAGGCAGAATAAGCCGTATACCGAATAGTAACCGAATATTCGTTGCAACTCTACAAATTACACTTCAAATTATAACAATAATAATAATACACACTTTCAACATAGCCGCACTAGGCAAACCCTGCATCGCGGGTGCCATGAACACATACATAGACAACCGCAAATTACACCCAAATTGACGCGAGAAATAAATGTAGGCTATGCTATTATTTCTTCCGGCACGGGAATCGAACCTGGGACCTCTGCGTGGCAGTCCGGCAATTCCTCTTTAGGATGAGTTTCTGTCTAGATAGTACTGGTTTTAAATTGTTCAAAATGTATTATTTACAATATTAATTGGATGCTAATAAGCAATAACGTGTTAATCAAAATTTTAGTTTTGCGAAAATGGCCCACTTTTTTAGTGTTTTTGACAATTAAATCTAAAATTTACAAAATGAAAACTTTTGCAATGTAGGATAAGATGTATTGTTATCAAAAGCAAGTCACAGTAACAAGTAGTTTTTTTTATAATACCAAGTGACGGGACGAACAAGTCGTGCGGCTGGTGATAAGCGACATGCCTATTCATAACAGTTGCAGTGCTACTCGGAGCTTTAAATCGCAAAGATCTTGGGCGCACTGCAACTGCACCCGTCACCCTGAGACATCAGTTGATAAGTCCCAGGTGCCTGTAATTTCACCAACACCCTTTCAAACCGGAATGCAGTAATGCTCACATTACTGCTTGACGGCAGAAGTAGATAAGGTGGCGGTATTTCCCTGTACGTACTTTTTCACAAAGACTTCTTCTGTTAATAAAATTAAAATAGAAAACCATTTATTGCATAAAAATCACAGTACATTACACATTCGCAATATAACTGCAATATATTATACTTTACGCCTAAAACACAAGACATAGAACAAATGAACAGTCCAAAATGCGTCATATTATAGTACAAGTAATGAATAATTATTTAATTAATAAATTATAAGCATAACAGTGTGCACTGTGCTGTTATAGATCCTAAATCCACTCCGCTTATTGTCGTCTTTAAATGTTATGTGACGCTGGTTTTCAGTGGACGCGGTTTTAAATATATGTGGATAAACACGGAACTTTAATAATAAAATATACAGTACTATATAAGTGAGGATCTAATAACTTTTTCAGAGGCGAATTCCTTTTCAAATCTTCTCTATACAGCGTGTCCCAAAATTCAACGATAAGCGGGCGCTGGAGGGTGGACCTGCGCATAACTACTTGAGGAAAAATAAGAAAAAAAATATTATCATTTTTTTTTAAATTACGATAAAAAAAATGTTATTCTTCGAAAATTTACTCCCTTAATGATATTTTAAATCACCACGACCACAATTTTTCAGATATTTCTGATGTTTTTATTTTAACGGCCACCTAAGTAGTACTGCTGTCTACCACAACTCTTAAAATTCCCAGAATGCCTGCAATTTTACAAAAAAATCCATCAAAATATTTTTTTTCCTTGAAATTTTGAAATATTTTTACCTGCAGTCGACTTTCACTCATCGTTTTGTAAAAAAAAAAGTACGGACACCACTGCGGCAAGTATTTTTAAAAATTGACGCAACTAACCAAGATTCCAAAATAGTATAATACTTTAAGGCGCAAAAAAATATTGGTACCATTTCTAAGAAAGACTAAATTTCTTGATTATTGTTCTTATTCATAATAATCACTTTCACTATGTGCCGAAAAAAGATTACTTGATGCAATTTCTTGGAATTTCAATGGCACATGTGCGTAGTCGATACAATTTAGAAATTAGAGAGAGAAAGATAGCGAGAGATATACGTTAGAAAGAGATAGATAGATTTACATTATTAGATAGACATTATCGTAATTGAAAAATAAAATGAGATAGATTTTTTTTCTTATTTTTCCTCAAGTAGTTATGCGCAGGTCCACCCTCCAGTGCCCGCTTATCGTTGAATTTTGGGACACGCTGTATAACATGAAGTGAAAAAATCACTTCTACCATGCAAGTATGCTGCCCTCGGAACAAAAAAGGGCACAACCAACTAACATTTTTACATACATAATATGTGTTATAAAGTCCATTACCAACGGATTATATTTTTGGATAAACTTAGTAATGTACGGAACTGTGCCCTTTAATTCTATTCATAAGTCACATATTAAAAGCCAGATTTAAATCAATTATGCAATTATAATTTTTTTTTTTAATAATTTTTATAGCTCGAGCTGAAAAAGAAAATTAAAGTATTTTTAAAAACGGCTAATTTAAATACAATGAAAGTTTCTGTATAAAACATGTATATTTATCAACATCAACTCGTTTATACGTCCCACTGCTGGGCACTGGTCTCATCTCGGCGAGGGTTTAGGCCATAGTCCACCATGCTGGCCTCGGGTTGAGGACTTCACACGTTTTCTGATGATTGTCAACCTTCTTCGATGTGCCGGTTTCAACGCAATGTTTTCGTTCACTGAAAAGCTCTTGTAAAATTACAAATAAAACTTTATTTATTACGTTGTCTTCATCTGCAATCAGTCCTTGAACCATTAACAGATACGTTAAGGTATGAAACTATAGGGTTTTTAGATAGAGTTTCTAAAGTTTTTAATATAATTTGAAATACATAACCGTGTGACAATGTTCTTCCTTAGTCATTCATTACTCCGTTAATTGTGTTATTCTGTGATATTTTTCTAGTATTTTGAAGCAGCTAAAGATATAATAAATAAACTACAAATAAATATGAAACTGTATTTATTATTCTATCTATTTATTCATTATGTTACATTCTGCAAACACATTTATCATTACAGATATATATCCAAATCGATAATGTCGAATCACATCATTATTAAAATTAATTAATTAATTGATTATTAAATACATTTCATTCAAATAATAAAAAATAAATAAAAAACTTAAACGTTTCAATTTCTTATATCTATTTATTACATATAATGTCAAAGGCTACTTCTGCGAATCTCGACATCGAATAACAAAAAATATCCGTTTCTTTAGAAATTTCATTTAAAAGACGCAAAGCAGTAGTGAGCGGCGCATGCTCCAGCACTCTGGTCCTGCACGGTGGCAGCGCTAGACTCTGTTGTCGCACGACGCGACGTAGGTGTGTATTTGGCACGAGGAGGTCGATTTGTTCCAGTATTTGCGGATTGCACAGTAAGCCGCGATAAATTTTAAATACATAAAGTGATGAGAGCCAAGTACCTCGTACTTCGTGTGTGTAATAATAGCCAAACCATTCCTCGGAAAAATGGTGACGGGTACATATTTGGGAACATAGGATACACTTCAAGTACGCGTTTTAGCAAAAAATCGACTTAAATACCAATTTCAGCGTTAGTGACTAAATCGTTCTCATTCATGTACATACGGCAATCTATCTAAATAAGTATTAAGTAATAGTTTTGTAAACTTTATTGTACATCAACCAGACAAATGGAACTTTAAAATCCATGCACTTTTATAACGGTCCAGCATATTTTACATACTTGACAATTAAAAATGTATGTATAATATCATAATTGTCGCTCTCATTCTTGTCTACTTTTAAGTCAAATAGTTACTTTAAGCCAAACATTTACTTGAAATATAACAATTAGATGGTGGTAGTGGTGGTGATGATGACGACGATGATGTGAATGGTAATGATGCTGATGATAATGGTGATCATGATGATGATGTTGATGGTGGTGATGATGATATATTGATGTACAACAAAGTTTATATGACATTAACAAAATACTTATTTAGATTTATTTATTAATTACATACACATAGATAGATGGTCTAACATGGATGAGAAGGATTTTGATACAAGAAGTTAGATTAAAATATTTGTTATATGTTAAATGTTCTTTTGTGAACGATAAAATGTGTGTTGTAATAATAATTTCTCATTACTGTGCCGTCTTTCTCATTTATGTTTATGAGAAAATCATTCGTGTTACTGCAATCACATTCGTGTGACCTAAAATATCGGTTTTTTTTTTGTATTTAACTTAAATACTTCTGTGATTTTATTATTATTGACATTGCTTGAACTTATATGTACGTTTAAGACCTTGAAGAAAAGAAAAAGTGTTTTACAAAAATTACTCAAAAAGTGCCATTGAAATTCGGAAAGTAAAATTCACCCTATGACGTTTTAATAATTACAAAATGCTTTATTATTCTTATTTTGATAATTGATCTACTAGTACCGAAATCAGTTTTTATTCATATGCATTTGAACAAGAATAGCCGGATTTGATTATCTATATTTAATTAAAATTAAAAACTTTAAAATATGTCTCCTCTTCGTATTTTTCATAAACATAGTTCTTCAGTGTATTTATTTTATTTTATTTTATTTTATATGATACAACAACGGATAACAGACTACAAATTATACTTAGAACTACTGCATATGTAACGTTATAAATCTGATATCCAATTATAATTATACACAACATTCAGAATGTATGTATGTATGTATGTATGTTCTTACAAAAATTTACAATTCAAATGAGTTTGTGCTCAGTAATTGGATGAATAATCGGTGGATGGTGATTCAAATCCCTATAAACGGCTCAGGACCAGTGAAGGCCTCCCTTGCACCAGTCTTGGCCAGTTTATTTGCTGCCTCAAGTACACATATTGCGCTAAACATTACAATGTTTTTTTTTTTTTGTAGGTGTCGAAGGACAAGCGCGCCCTCAAGTTCCTTAAGCGTCGTCTGGGAACGCACATCCGTGCTAAAAGGAAACGTGAGGAGCTCAGCAACGTGCTCACCCAGATGAGGAAGGCAGCCGCTCAGGCACACCACCACCATTAATTACAATAAATTCTAATTAATTACCCTGTCTTTTATTGTATAATACAATTTCACAGAATATTCATTTAAAAATCACTTGACCTCGGTGTCGTCGCGGTTAACTCTATGTGATGAGGAGGTCACTGGTTCGATTCCCGGTAGAACCAACTTGAGAAATAAACTTTTAAATGGGCCTTGACGTGGATGTTCTGGGTAGTGTCCATGAGTTAATTTCGTCGCTCTGGTACTCGTAGTACAGTGAATTTCCTATTACAGTCAGGTAATTAGTGTGATTGTCTGTCACTTATTATTATTCATCAACCAACAAATTGAAGTACCGCTATGATGACGATTAGATTGATAAAGATAAATTTAATTTCATTATAACTTAATCTAATACAAGTGAAACAAACTCAAAGGAAGCTATTATTATTATAATAAATAGTAAAAACAAACCTTACAGTGTTATTACTATACTATACTAACGCAATGGTAGTTTTTCACTATAGAAATTTCAGGACTATGAACAACTTTTGTTTCATAATTTGTTACAAAATGTACAGTTTACCGTTAATATTTTTTTAAGTTTTTGTTGTACTGTCTGATACTTTAGATGTGTATTTAGTAGTTTCTCAAGTTATATTGCGGCGGAACGGAATGGAAGCGAATTTTCGTAACGATATTGTACGGACAACGGCACATCGTACTACACATTTTTGTTCGAAAATCGCCTCCAGTGCAAAGGAACAGGTTAAGTCAATGTGTAGCTTGATATGCTGGCGTGTGCACATAGCGTAATGAACTGTATGCTAAATTGTGTAATGTACAAACTAAATACGAGCCAAAAATCACGACGCGGAATTCTAGCGCATTCGCGAGAGTGAATCCGCGGGAAGTGACGCGAGGCGCAGTGTGACGTCAAATATAGAGAGTATGGTTTATGACGAAATAGTACAGCCTAGGCGCAGTCGCGAGAAAGCTCGCGAACGCTCGAGCATTCGAACGTTCCGCCGCAATGTAAATTGAGCTTAAATTCAAACGTACTTTTAAATTTTCATTACCGCACAGAGTTCTCACTGCATAGAGCAAGATCTATTTAAATATTTTTGTATGAAAGCAAAATTTGACGAATTATCATGAAACAAATTTTTTTGTTTATGATGTTGGTAATTATAGTCCTGCGAGATTGTTAGTATTTTAAAAATAATCCTGTAAACAGTCTTATGGCTTTAACAATTTAATCTTAGAACCTATAGTGTGGTTGCGATGCTTAAACTAAGTACCTAAATGAGCAAGTGCCATGTTTATGCATACTTTATTTAAAAACAGATTTGCTATATTTCTTTAACAAAGTTTTATTGTTAAAGATTGGTTATTAATAGTTCTCACAAGAAACCAAATACTGTCATAATTCAAAAATGGTGGAATTGAGAAAACTATTTGAAAGTTCAAAAGTTACTGAAGCAATTAATTTATATTTTCGTTTATATTCTTATCCACCAACCATTTTACATACATACATGTTAACCTAATATTATGTATAAATAATCCTATAATTCGAAATTACATTCATTCGGTATTTTTTATTTTGAATTTTCGAATCGTGTCTTAGTAACTGTCAAGAGCACATCAAGCTTGACACTGTACTTTGAACCGTTCCTATCGTAAGCGGCATATAGTTAGATTTAAGTCTTAATAGTGAAGCTTGACGTGCTCTTGACCTTGTACCTACATACACCATTACAAAATACAAATAAAAGGTAAATGTTGTTTATGGATTACATTTATTTCTCTCGTGAGTTTGGCTGTAATTTGTGGTTGTCTATGTTTGTGTCCATGGCCCCCGCGACACAGGGTGTGCGTTAGTATTATTATTAATAATAAACATTGTCTTTTATTTTTATTTATGCCCAGTTTTCAAATGGAAATACTATCCATTCGCTACATGTGTTACTCCATTATCTGTCAAAAACCACAAGCAATATGTCATTATCTTCAGTCTTTTATCCCGTTTATTTTGTGATCGTATATAATACGTTTGTTACGCGAGACTCTTGTTTCGGTACACCAAACGAGAGCTCAACATAGCATAGCATGCGAAATTGCTGCCTAACGAAGTCGTGTGCTTAATGTTGTGATAGCAAATTGTCCATGAAAAATGGTCTTGTACATGTAACACAGTCGTCGTTTGCTGATTCATTGGTAGTTTATAAAGAGGATCACACAATTTTATGTTTGTTGACGTACAGATGACAGCATATCAAGCTACACATTGACGGATCTTGATTCGTTGCTCTTCAGGCGATATTCGAATAAAAGTATATAGCTAAATGTGCTATTGACTGTATCTATACTGGGTGTAAATTTAAGACGGGGCAGCAAGGCCAGCTACTTTAATCGTTGAAGTTATAGGAAAACGGTTCAAGGAGACTATCCATAAATTTTGAAGATACTTTGATTGGCATTCACAGATTTTGAAAAAATGGCGCAATCAGCAAGATGACAGGCAATTTTTACAAAACTTTGTTTATGCCACTGGATCCGGTCTCTGGTAAGGATCAATAGTCTCTATGGGGCCAACTGAGGTAAGAGTACTCGAAATATCAGAAAACTTTTTACCATACATTTTGTAGGGACATATTTACGAACTTAAGCGTTAATGTGTGAACCGATTTTGGTGGTTCTTTATTGTTGGAAAGAGGGTACCTCAGTATATAGTGGTCCCATTTAAATTTGATGAAAATATTCCACCTGCAAGAGTGGCAAACTATGGGATAAATGACTATTGAGGCAGGTTTTTTCTTGGCTTTTAACGTTATAAATTAAAGTCATGGGTAGGTATAACTCATTTTTTTATACATGTCGCTACAGTAATTCGAATTGTCAACCTCTCCACTGTAGAACGGTTTACTAGAAGACGCTAGTTAGAATCAAGCCGCATCGAAATATTTTTTTCCATGCGTTCGATCTTTGTACCTATCTATTAATAATTATAACCTCTCCATTGTCAAGCAAGCGTTCTTACAATGAGCAGAGACCACTCGTATCTGTGAAATGAATTTACTTTTTTATTAATATTTCCATTACTTTTACCTACGTCAATATTTACATTTCGACAGTTTTGTATTCTAATGTTTACTGCGTGAGATCTTTTTTGAAACTAGATTATGCAAAACCCTGATACGCTTGCCTGAATAATTTTACTAGTTCGTGACCATAATAATTCAAGGTTTGATCAATAGTTTCTTAACTAAATTGGCTTTGCTTAATACACCTTTACCTTTAGAAAAAAAAGAAAAATCTAGATTTTTCTTTTTTTTGTAGGTATTGTGAGTTGCAGTGCCATTCAGAGCTTTTCATCGCAAAGATCTGAGGGGCAATGCCACTGCGCTCGTCGCCCTGAGTCGACATAAGTTGACAAGTCCCAAATGTCGGTAATTTCACTAGTATCCTTACTCTTCAAAATCATAATATCATCATCGTAGTAATGCTCACATTACTGCTCGGCGACAGAAATAGGTAAGATGGCAGTAGGTACTACCCTGGATGAACTCCTTCACAAGGACTTCTACTGTTACTAAAAACTATAAAAGAGAAGTTTTCTTTGTAGACCCCCCATTGGTTCAGAGGTTTAAAAAAATGGAGACAGACAATCTTGACTGATCGAAATGGAAGATGTGGATGCGTCGCGCCGCCGCCGTTTGCTGTCGATGGTTTTTCCAAACCACTACCGCTGAAGAGTTTCACCGTCGTAAAAAATATTTTCTTTTAGATAATGACGTATTGTATATATAGCTTTTTAAAATTAATTATTGTATATTTTAATACCATACTTCAGTAACCTCGTCGTCAACATTGTATACAAGCACTGATGCGTGTTGATGAGGCGAAAGATTTGGGTCAGCATCGTAGCAAAGAGGTTGTTGTTTCTACCTACCCCGATGGGAAAAGGGCGTGAAGTATATGTATTATTAAGTACTTCCGTAAAATTGAAACGTATCACATTCGTGTCCTCATATTGCTGAAAATCAGTGCCACGACACGGTAAACAAACCGGTTGTGGCTAAAGCTGAGCAAGTCCCGTTTGCACTAGTCGCGACACGCATGACGATGAATTACCTGCATATTTTGTATTATTATTGTTCCTCAATGTCCTTTTGTTTTTATTATTATTTTTGTTTTTTGTTTATATGCGTGTTTGTGATTGTGCAATAAATGGCTTTCTATTTCTATTTCTATTTCTATTCCTATAGCAGTAGAGCTCCTTGTGAAAGAATTCGTCCAGTGAAGTACTGATAACTACCTTACCCATTTCCCCCGCCAAGCAGTAATGTTATCATTACTGCGTGTCGGTTTTGCAGGGTGCTGGTAAAATTACAGGCAATTATCTATTGGAACTTATCAACTTATGTCTCAGGGTGACGTGCGCACTGGCAGTGTTCGTCAGATCTTTGCAATTTAAAGCTCTGAGTGGCACTACAACTGCTATACACACGTGTCGCATAGCACCAGGCGCATGACATGTTCGCCCCGTCACTTTATATTATTTTATAAAAACTATATTATATATGTGTACATTGTACTAATAAATAAAAACAAACGTCAATGTATGTACAGGAGTTACATAGTGTTATCTTCTGTTACTAATTAATGACGTATGGTTACAAGGGGGGCCTCGTTACAAGAGGTCGACAAGCTATCAGCTTGCGTAATTACAACAGTTGTATTGGGCAAATCAGCATATTGTATCTGCAAAATAATTAATTTTGATGAATGCTTGAAGGAGAACCGTGCTCAACAGGCAGATGATACAGACAGGTCGAAACCTATCCTCAAGGAACCACTGAAGGTCTTACTAAAATTACTTTTTGATTAGGGGAAGGCCGGGCAAAGTGAATACCCCGGGCAAAGTGAATTCTCCCCACTACTCCTAAATTATGAGTTTGTCATTCAACATGTCACTACTGTTATGTTCGGCCATCTTGATTCAGTACGCGGCAAACATCGAAGCGAGGGGCCGCGTCACGTCCCGTCCGCGGAA